AATAACTAAACAAATCCATGAATAAAAGTTTTAAAGCGATGTTAAGATTTTCTGTGCTGAAGTTAGTAAGAACTATAGAGAAAACTCTGTAGTGAGTCCGCATTTCTGAACACTTAAAGCTCTCATCTATCTAATTCAGAGGTGGCCAACCCTGTTCCTGGAGAGCCACCTCCCTGCAGATTTCAGTTGCAACCCATATCAAACACACCTGAACCAATTAATTAGGGCCTGAACACCATGTGATAATTACAGGCAGGTGTATTTGATATGGGTTGCAACTGAAATCTGCAGGGAGGTGGCTCTCCAGGAACATGGTTGGCCACCCCTGATCTAGTTGGTTATCTGAAAACAGTGGTGCAAGGACAGGAACTAAGAACCAACCTCTGATGTAGTGATTATTTAATTGTCATAACATTCCCTGGCAGTGGCAAATAGCTTTGGTTTTAGTCTTTAAGATTTAATGTAATTACATTAATGTCTAATTAGTAACACTTTGGGCCCTATCATACACCCGGCGCAGTGTGGCGTAAGGCGTGGCGCAGTAGTCTTTTGGTAGTTTCAGCTTGGCGCAAGAGTCGTTTTGAGGCGTTGCGCTATGCTGTTTAAATAGCAAATGCATTTGTGCGTCCATAGGCGTTCTGGTCTAAAAAGGAAGGCGTTCTGAGGCGCACTGCTGGCACGTTGCTATTTTGAGAAACTATAATAGATTTTTCATTAGACCAAAACTAACCCGGTCTAAACTCCAGCGCAGAGTTGCGCCTCGCTTACACACTGCTTAATACACACAAGAGAGCAATAGGCAAATATCTTTACATATGAAAAAATGTAAATATTAAGGATATATATAGGATATAATAAGAATAGATATAGAATATAAATATAAAGGATTAAAATATTACAAAACATATTATTTTCTAGCCGACATAAATATGAAAAATCACTGCTTTTATGTCTTCTTCATCTCGGGAGGCTTTTTCAGTTCATTCATAACAATTTGCTTTTGTATAATGTTATTATTATTAGCAGTATTATTTATTATATCCATATTTATATTTGTTTTATTAAAAACAAGCTTAGATTTGCCCACCTGTCAGGTTTTAGACCATATGGGGCACAGCATGTGTTTTAGGATATAACTCAGGTTTTTGAGCTCATTTTGTTATTATTGTTGATTTATTCGTTTGCTGGAAATTAGAACTGAATTTAGAAATAGTTTTGAAACGAATATTTGCGCTTAACAAACAAAATTAATTATTTATAGACTAATTGATGTCTGTGCGTAAAGGTTTCCCTATCCAAGAGCGAAAGTGAAAGTAGATCATTTTTCTCTCATTCTTACGCAGTAGATGTTCTGTTCTGTTAAAACACTGTTAACTGTTTGCTTGTGAAATGCTCATTTTTTCCACTTAGACTTACTTTGCGTCCTGTAAATAGTGAATGCGCTCTATGCACGACGCAGCTGGCTCTTAAAGGGAATGGGAGATGAGACTCTAATTGGTTTATTCTCAAAACACACCTATAACTCGTTAAGAAAATAAACTCAACCCTTTTAGACCATGCACCTTGGCGCAAAGCGGATTTTCCTGTCCTTAAATTAGCAAAAACACATTCTGACACGCCCTGAAAGCGTTTGCACCCTGCACTTTGCGCTCTGCGCATGGACCTTCAAAATAGAGCCCTTTACAATAAGGTTGCATTCGTTAGTTAGTGTATTTTAAACAAACAATGCACAACACATTTATTTACATCATTACATCAATATATTAATCATTTTTGTTAACGTTATGTGATGGAATAAAGTTGTTTGTGCTAACTCACAGTGCATTAGCTTTTAAAAGTAAGTATCCAATACACTTCAGTTGAATTTTGCAAGTAAGAACAAATCACAATTAAATCATAAGTTTGAAATTTTGCTCGTTGCCCAGCACCACAAAAAACTGAAGCTAGACTAAGCACAGTAAATCATGCATTTAATTGTGTTCTAGCTAGATTAATCAAAGAAAAAGCTTGTAATTAATTACGATTTTTCAAATTTACTCGTTGACCAGCACTACAAATAATTCAAATAAATAATAAATAAAAGTAGTGGCTGCATGTTGTTCATCATAGTTAAACTACTTCTTTATTAATGCTCATCTTTCCCCAGTGCGCTTTCTCAGGAAGAACAAGACGATTCACAATTGAAGATTGAGGATATCGTCCAAATGGTTAGTGTCACAGCAGCGCTCAAGCTAGATTTCTGTGTTTAGATCTACTTTTTCAGTGCTGTCAAGCGCTTAATCCTGATCAATCGCATCCAAAAGTTCATGTTTACAAATTATTTGTCCGTACTGTGTAAGTAACTGCTCTTGGGCTGCAGGGTGATATGGGTGGACGTTTCAGCAAGATATTAATCCAAAACACAGCCAAGAAAACTCTCAAATGCTTTCAGAGAAAGAAAATCAAGCTGTGGAATGGCCCAGCCAATCACCTGACTTGAATCCAATAGACAATACAAAATAAAGCTCAGATTTAATAGACATGATCCACAGAACCACAAGATTTTGACACTCTGCTGATGTCTGTGGAAAACTCACATAAGACAATTGCATCAATGTTAT